CCGAGGTGGTTCCCATAGAAACATGTTTATGTTTTTCTATATATAACTAAGAGTTCCGACATGTTTTTACCTGGTATTTTTTTGCCGCAAACTTACGTCATTTATTATAGTTTGCGGCATTAATTCTCATAGGTAATTCTGTTATCTGTATTCCTTTCAATATCGTCCGGAAAGCAATATAGTACGCTTAGAAATATTCATTTAAACACAAGCGTCGTGTAGGCCCACGACACTTGTCGTGTAGACACACAATAAACTTTTAACAGGCAGGGGCGGATCCAACACCCCGTGTTTCCACTAAAATTGTTTAACTTTCAAGGCATATACTGAAATTAGCGCTCTCGCTTATCTATTCTAAATATGTTGTGTTCCCCCCCCCCTTCCCCGTACGTTTGAAAAATTCTGACAGGTGAATGTTTTGTTTTGTAGCATTCGACGAATGTATGCATTTTGTGAAGGGCCTACACCGTAAGGGAGGATTTAAACGCAAAGCTCCACTCAATTTTATCCCGATTGTGGTGACATGATTAAAATATAAACGTGTTTAGGCATAAATTAATGTGCTTAGCTGAATCTTGATGTGTTTAGCAGTGACTTCATGATATCACATCACATTTAATAATAAAGACGTCAAGCAGAGCACAAAATGCAGGCGAAATACTTGTAAGATCCTTGCCTTATCTTCCAGTAACACTTTAATTGCACGATCGATTACCCACGTCAATCCTATAGCACCACCTGTCGCACTCGGGTGCTGAGCTTCATCTGGGTTGGGAAGAGGGTTAGCTACCCTCTTCTCTGCGATAGTGACGTTATAAACACAGCTGTGTGTCGTGATGAGTAAGCGAATAGGACATGATATTAATAGTTAATGGACTAGTATTTGAAAACGTATACATGTTAAACATCGGTCTGTGAGTTAGCCAATTTCCTGGGCATGGGTGCAAGTTTGGGCCAGTGCCTGTTGGATCTCAGTCATCTCACGGCGTATCATTTTAGAGTCATCGTGCTTCTTCCTTACTTTCGACTCGGCTAAAAGGTTATCCAAATATCAAGTCGATTTCAACGCTTGATACATGCCTTCATTAACCTATATCACTCTATATTTCAGTTAGACGACCTATATTTTCATGTGTGCATGAAAAACAAAGAAATGTTAGGTACGGTATGCCTTAAAGCCAGGCTCAGGAGGAAATTTCTTTTTATACGAACTGTAGTAAAACTGATTTTTCTACAGAAAAAGGGTGTTTGACAAAAACTAGGGAACGGTTAATGAGATACATATTTTTGAACATTTAAAAACTCCGGGAAAAAACGATGGTTACGCCCCCTTTCTCCCAAGTTTTAAATATTCGAAAATTCTGTACCGTATCTTGTTAACAGTTCCCGAGTTTTTTGTTCAACACATTTTTTTTTTGTCTTAAAAAAACCAGTTGTACAACATAGGCCTTTCAATAATTCTTTTTTTTAAACTGGATTTATTGGATTAGATTTCTTCGGTGTGATACAGACAAACCTACGAAATTCCTAAGACTTATTTTTGAGAGAGCAGCTTAGCTCAGTCGGCTAATCTAAAGGTAGCCACTGTAGGCCTATGTACGCTGAACCGTAGAGATCTCTAGGTCCCCGGTTCAATTCCAATCGCTGCCTCTCCTCGTGTTTCAGTTGGAGGGCTGAAATACAAGTAACAATAGCGCACCGTCTTTCGGATGAGACGTTTAAGCCGTTGGCCCCGTGTGCATTTATGGCCCATGTGGCCCGCAGTAAACTCTTCGGAATGAGTAGGGGATTGTCTCCAGGTGTACTGCCCAATCACCACCAGAAGGACCCCACTGGAAATACGTCTTCGTCTAGACTTCCGTGGGATATCCTAGGTGTTTACACCAAACAAATCCAATCCAGTCCTATCCATTTCCAGTGGGGTCCTTCTAGTTGTGAATTTGGAAGCAGTTCGGGAGACATTCCCCTACTCTTTTCCGAAGAGTGTATCCAGTACTGCGTCCTTTAACGTGCACATCGGCCATAATGCACACGGGACCAACGGCTTAAACTTTCTCATCCGAAAGACGGTGCAATCAGCACGCCAGCTGAAACTAAGGAGAGCAGCGATTGGAATTAAACCGGCGATCAAGAGATCGTCACGATTCAGCTAATAAATTTAGGCCTATGCGAAATACTCTCTGTGTGAGTAGGCGTATATGATTCATAATAAGAGTATTCAGAAAAACACATTAAAATAAATAAAACATAGTAAAATAGAAAAGGTAAATACAATTACAGAAGCGAAGACTGGGGTAAGTGGTCAAGCCCATGAATGACCAGGCATCACTACATACCTAAAACTAGGCCTAAAGATATATTCTCTTGAATTCATATAAATATAACTATTTTTTTAAATGTGCTGTTTACGGCTGTGTGTTAAAAGGCTGAATAAAAAAGACAATAGCACAAAACCATTAAATTTGTGTTATTGAATCTAACACGGTTGTCTAATCCGGATTTGTACATCGATAGGCAATCGATGCCTCAAATATTTCCCACGCATACGAGCAATGCTCAAGTGTAACCATCAATCATATATCATCACAATGGTCAACATTTCATTAACGTTATTTTATTTGTATCATTATCATTATCATCATCTACACTACCATCGTCGTGATCATCATCATCATCATCATCATCATCATCATCATTCTATCGTCATATTATCGATCTCATGATCGTTTACCTTATCATTTATTATCCTTATCATACCAATATCATTGCCATTACCAACACCATTGTCATTGTTATTGTTATTTGCATTATCAATATCATCATCATTATCTTCACCATATTCATCATCATGAGTCATTGTCATCATCATCATTGCCATCATCGTTATAGTAATTATCCATATTAGGCATTAACATTATTATTATTATTATTGTTGATTCATTCATATAATATTCGAGCACATTTATGCAAAAGACATTAACAAATTGGCAACCAATTAGGGCCTACTAGGAAAGGCATTAAAGCAATACAGGGGCGGATCCTTGTTCAAATTTAAGGGGAGGGGATCGAAATGTTTCCAAAAAAACCCCAAAAAGAAAGGGGGTCCGGGGTCTCCCAGGGAAAACTTTGATTCCTAGATTGAGGGAAATAAGCTTTCCCGACTTCTGAGGTGTCTTTTAATGAATTTCAAACTTTTCAAAATCAAGGTTTTTCTCCTCTTGAAAATGGTCAGGTAAACTTTCTCACTCTTATTACAGTAAATATGCCTATTATGTGTGTATACATACATAAAAAAAATTAAGTAGTTGTATACATATTCTTTTTTTACAGTAAATAGGCCTTTATGTGTGTACCGGTATACATACAGAGATAAAATTCGGTAGTTGCATATGTATTCTTTTTTTCCATGAGTCGGTGAACCCCAAAATGAAAGGGGTGGGGTCCTCCCCCGGAAAAATGTTGATTCCTAGATGGCGGGAAATGAGCTTTGCTGACTTTAAATTTTCCTATTGTAACAAAAAAAAAAAAAAAAAAAAAAAAAAAAATTAGCACAAGGGTCCTGAAAACGTAGGTCCAGAATTGTTTTTGTTTTTCCCAAGAAGGGGGAAAGGTCAGGACCTCTGACCCCTCCCCAGATCCGCCAAAGGAAGTCAAACAAAGTTTTATAGGATATGTCACCGCATACAGAGCAAGAGCGAAAATGAACAGAAAAAGATGGAAAATACTGGAGGAGGGCTTCACACACAGCAGTGGGTTAAATTATTAATCCGGCTTAATCTCTTGATAGATAATCGATAACTAATCGATAGGTGTTTCTTAACTGATCCACAACCAAACATTTCCCAAGTGAAGTGTTCGGGTGAGGTCCAATCATATCTGTTTTAACAATGGCGGCTTAAAAGATCAACAATAGGAACGATCAATGTTCTAATCGGATTTACCGCTATCGGCACTATTCACGAAACTCGCGCTGTTTGTGTGAAATCGAGATGACGTCATAGAAACGTTTCTCCATATCAACCGGAAGTGCTCGTATAACGCCAAAAATCAACAATATTTAATACTATCTTAGATTTAATACATTTGAAATACTCATTTCTACTTTAAAAAGAAGTGGAGTTGATTACTGCAGCTTGGTGGTTAAGGACCTGTCTTCCAATCCCAGGATCATGGGTTCAATTCCTGTCAGTGTTTCAGTTTTTTTTTCTCACGACCAACTCATAATGAGATTTATTTTGTGTAAAGCATCTTGTGTGTACATGTGTATTGGAATTGTCACCTACAAGTCACTAGTGCATGAATTAGCCATTGATAATCCTTGGCGCATGTATGTGCCTAAAGAAATAATAATAATAAAAATTAAAAAAACTCCAACCCCACCCCACCCCAAAAAAAGTGGGAGTGGTAGGATTAACAAAAGTAATTTAATTCGTTTAGCTTGCAAGTATGTTAATTCATCCTTAGAAAAACAAATATATAGCCTAGGTAATATCAGGGGCGGATCTTTTTGGAAGGTAAGAAAAAAATTTAAAAAAAAATGATCGCCCAAAACGCCCCAGAGGTTGTTTTCTGGCGTCTCAGGGCATGCTCCCGGACCCCATAGGGTAGTATTATCTCGATCGACCCCACTTTCGGCCCCCATTTAATTAATCTCTGAATCCGCCCCTGAATATCAACAGTAACTGCACGTGGAGACGTCAGCGAGTCTGTTCCAGTTCTTCTGTTAGGCTATTTTAGATTTTAAACTGGGGAATCGCTTCTATACGAAAATTATGAAGTGGATAGGCCTATATTAATTTTTTAGTAGTTAAAAAAACGAAGGAATTTAGAATTTCAGCCTGGCCTAGGCCCCTTGAAATGGTGATAATCTAACCAGATTATTTTCCCACCCCCAATTTGAATGTCATCAATATTGTTATGTTTCGTGGTGTAAAATTTTCACCTTGATCAATTGATCCGTTGATCTGTACATCCCATAATTCAATAATCAATACGTTAACACCAAGCATATTGTTTTGTTACATCATGATCGATGCAGACCACTTTATGACAGCACGATTGTTTCAAACTTCGTCATTCGTTTGGTTTTCTAAGAGGAACAAACACAGCGCTAACCGAAGGTAGGTCTAGTCTATATCAATGCAATTAAAATTCAACAATGGATTTTTGCTTTTTTTTTCGTATTGAAGCAAAAGTTTCAAGTGTGAGTTTTGGAGGATTTTGGAGGGAGGCCTGATTTCCAAATGTCGTCACACTGTCGCTATAGTGTTCTCACTGCAATTTTTACACAGCGTAGCTGTTCCCGACGCAAACTAGAAGTCTCTTCGATTCGCCCGATCAATCCGAATCAGCGTTAAGATTGGTTTCCATTCATACAATCGCTAAGTGTCGCTACAGTTTTGTTTTACTGCAATTTGATATATTTATATTAATTTTTGTACTGGACTTCGAAATAAAAAAGAAACATTTCATAATTGTACGCTGTAATTTATATCTGTATCTGCGTAGCTCTCCCCGACGCAATTGGGAACGCACCCTGATTCTGTCAAGCACGGTTTCCATACAATCGCTACACTGTCGCTACAGTTCTTTTTACTGAAATCGCTGCACTCCGTCGCTGTCCCCGACGCAATCGGGGATTATCGGGAACACGCCTTGATTCAACTGACCAACCAGCATCTTCAAAGGATTCGGCGATAGCGTGCAGCGATTTTATGAAAACCAGCTTAAAGGTTTCCTTAAAATCGCTACTGTGTTTTCAGTGCGATCGTTGTACTGTATAGCAGTCTCCGACACAGTCGGGAAAGCTCTCAGATTCAACTGACCAATCAGCATCCCCGAAAGCTGTCGGCGACAGATTGGTACCGATTTTATGGAAACCAACTTTACTCGTTCCGTCCTATCCTTTCATTAAAATATTTACGACATAAATTTAAAATATTGCAGTAATTAAGTCTTTCTATACATTTTAATATACAATATGATACTTGTTATTTTCTCTTTATAAAATCAATTCACTGGAAAGGTAAAGGTCCATTCACACTCTATTATATTTTGTAATGGTGGCATTCCATTTTTACGTATGCTGTGATTGTAACATAGTCTTGATTGTGTGGACAGAGTGGTACCGAACAGAGCAGCACACTCGTATTGTTTTTTTTTTTTTTGTTTTTTTTTTGTTTTTTTTTTGGTTTTTTTTTGAATCTAGATGTGTATAACAGAGTACCCTATATAATGTTTTTTTTTTTTTATTACAGTGTCGAGATGATTCTTTTTACCTGTCTCCTGTTGGCCCTGGGTGAGTTATTTTGTGTTCTAATCTGTGAATTAACCCCCATTATTATATCACATGAGGTTGAAGATTTTTACATGCACAGTACCGTAACACCTATAGGCCTTCATAAACCTCTATCCATGTGATTAATGGATATGACGCTCGCCTTGACAGCAAGAGGTCGCAGGTTCCAATCCCGTCAGAGCTTTTTATTACACAATTTCTTTATTCATTTATTTTTAGGACAACATTCGTTGAGAGCTATGCTACGATGTATTATCATGTCCGTTATTCGAACACTGTATTTACATTTCTTTGATGATTTATATATAATTTAACAGTGCCCGGCTATCTTGATTTATATTATATGCAACTACTTGTTTCCAGCCGTACCTATTGCATAATAGAGTTTATCTGGTGGTTATTTCAGGGAGTTGAAATAACAACTCCCTGGTTATTTTAATCTCTTCAACATGAAGCCTCTGTGGTCTAGTGGTTATGACGCTCGCCTTGACAGCGAGAGGTAGCAGGTTCGAATTCCATCAGAGGTTTTTTTTATTTCACAATTTATTTATTTATTTATAGGACAGCATTCGTTGAGCGCTAAGCTACACGATTTATATCATGTCCTGTATTCGAACACTGTATTTACTTTACTTTGATGATTTACATATAATTTAACAGTGTTAACAGCTATTTTGATTTATATATATAGGCTTATATATATATATATATATATATATATATATATACGCATGGATATATGCATGTATAGGCCTACACATACAGATAATATATACATAACATGAAAATAGGACTATTTATAAACATAAAAAAGTAATAACAAACATAAAAATCTGCCTAAAGAATGTATATTTCGAAACTTAAATGTCAAAATGTCTATTGTTGCACTACGTAGCTGTCCCTGACGTAATCAGGAAAGCTCTCCGATTCAATTGACCTATCAGCAGTGTCGGCGATAGCAATTTTATGGAAACCATCTTTAATGTGGCTAAGACACGTAGAATAGATCCAGAAAAAAACATTTGCAAATTTAATACATCTAAAACCATATATAAAAAAATGTTAGTTTAACAATTGCCGTTATTTCACTGTTAATTTGTTTGTCGAATAGGCCTACTAAGTTTATAAGTTATCCTCTTATAACTTTTGTATTTAAAAATTGTTTCAATACTATTTCCTTTATCAGCTTGTGGGATTTTAAAGCGTACTTGTTGAGAAACAGAATATGCTTATGATTTGTAGCATGTTACGCATAATCACAATAATCCGGTCAGCAAACACAAAACGTTAACGTTTGTGAAGATGTGGCTATAAGTAACTTTGCTGTAACATTACTGTTTTAGTTGTAAAATTACGTCATCATTACACATTTATAGTTCTACAAAAAAAAAAAAAAACTGCAACGTTACGGTATTACAATGTAAAATTGTTAGATGTGGTGTAGTTCGATTCAATTTAACCCTCGCTTAAAAATAAATTGAAGGTTTTCATTTTTACCTCGATGGGCATACATACATTTTTTTTTGAATTCCCGAACTCATCACTGATCACCATTCCGAACGAGATAGGCCTAATCATATAGGACAATCATTCATAACTGCATAGGCCTATTTTTTCTTTCAGTGGTCAACTGTTCTCAAGCTACTCCTGGATGCATGGCCGGAGATGTCGAAACGGCTATGCTCGAATGTACCGTCGAGGACATTGTCAGTACCATAATCGAGAATGCTGACTACTGTAAGTATAACAGTCATGATCCAGGCTATTCTCCACGGCCTAGTCGGAGAAGGAGCCACTTATTTCATCCGGATACTTAAACCTCCCCCCCCCACCCCAAATACATTTTAACAGTCACAAGAGTGCCATTTCCGGGAATTTACAATTTTTGACAATTTGCTCCAAATATTTTGGGGCTGAATTTGGACTCCTGTCAGGGATCGTCTGGTCCAAGATCTTGGACCCCTGTCGGTGACCTTCGACCAGTAATGGCGCCAGGATTTTACCGACGGGG